AAATGATTTAATTGTGGAATAATAGAAGTACATATTGGCCCACTCTAACTAATTATTGTCAAAATAGATCTAGGATTATCCGAATGATGTAACAGTGTTTCGGATCCATCCATTAGCAGGCCCGTCAGAACCGGGGGGCTAGAGCCCCCCAATAATTGTCAAATTGTAGTATGTTTCCTTTATAACAATGTAGTGAATGAGAATGAAAAAAATGCGCAGCCCCCCCCCCCCCAATATGAATTTTGTTCCGACGGCACTTGTTAGAGGTATAACTGCCTCCACACTACAAGTGTGGTATACCAAGACCCTTAGGGTATACCAGCGCAGTTCGTACGCAGCTGATAAAAACAACATACCTTCATTGTAACAGGACCTCTTTCGACAAGAGCGTAACTTCCTAATTCATCCAAGATAGTTTTGCATTCAGGGCTCACGTGAACTCTAAGCGCGAGGCCACTGGATTCCATACGAGATGCATAGTTAACAGTGTCACCAAACAGACAGTAACGGGGCATTTTCAAACCAACAACACCAGCCACTGCCGGACCTATTGAGGATAAAAATGAAGGATTAAAGAGCGGTTTTGATGGAGCGCAATGACAAAGTGGTTAGAGCGCTTGATTGCAGGCACTTCCTGATATACACGGATCGTATATGGGACAGTATAGGTTCCAAATCTTTGATTGGCTGAGAAACCTCAATTTTCCATACAGTTTTGACCAATCAGAGTTCAAGAATATCACAACAACGTGCCTCACAGCTAGATTCAGATCTTTTAGATATAGTCTGATTTCGCAGCAGCAACATGAGGGGAATTTCTGCATGTCTGGCATGGCATTCTGAAAACAAGTCCTTCGATTGAGAGGCTACTATGGGCAAAAAAATTGAAATAAAATAATAAGCTGAAGACTTCAAAGAGAAAATACTAGGTTTACCTATATTGAAACACTAACCTGTGTGAATTCCAATTCTCAATTGTAGTTGTACCTCTGGAAAATGCTTTATTCTGAACGTTTTGATGCAATGAAGCAGGTCTAGGGACATTGTTGCAATCTCTCCTGCGTGCTTATTGCCGTTTCTCTGGGGCAGTCCCGACACAACCATGTAAGCATCGCCTATTGTTTCAACCTGCACAACAACAAACAGGGAATCAACGAAAGCGTTTTACATCTACGTTGAGTGGAAATGCTTAGCGATAGGCATGTGTGCAGGACACTGCTTAAATAAATTGCATTGGCTCTAAAAGGGCCTGTTGATCAAGCGGAGAGCTTTAGTCAGTTTGCATTAATTACACTGAAAACCCATAGTGAATAGTCCAGAGCAAATATCTTTTATAAGCAGGTGGCTTTCATTGAAATAGGAAAGTTGAAATAATCGTACCTTGTATACATCATGAACATCCACGACTCGATCGAAACACGTGTAAAGATCATTCAACATATCAACGACCTTAAAAAGAGATGCGCATATTATTAAGATACAATTTCGAACCAAATGCTGATCAAATGAAATTTTATCAGAGTTAATTTCACGAGGGGTGTTGTAGAATTTGATTTCGCTAGGGGTTTTTTGATATCAGGCGTAGTGTGTTTCTTCTGATCCTTATTTAATCTATTGCATTAGACTAGTGCCTGTTTACATCGCGGGGTTCGTCCTTGTTTCTTTTCGTTTAGAAAAGACTAGGCTCTTAATTCAGTCATGTTTTCTCTTCCCTGCTCATATCTTAGGTATCTCAGATAGGACCGGTGCATTGGATCTCTGGTGGGGAAAAAAGTGAATTTTCTTGTCCATTCCCTGCCCAGAACTTTAAGCTGCTTGTACTTGAGTCTATTAAGCTACATCAAAGGTTAGCATTTTGTATGGGTTAGGTGAACCGATTGAACCGATGCACCGACGGGCCAACGTTGCTTCCTGTGATGAGGGAATATAGCCTTAAGACCTGAGGGTAGTGGCAACGTATTACTGGTGTTACTTGCATCATCTTAAACACATCATATGCTTCAAAAGCTACTTTCTTGTTTCGAAATATCTATTGCAAATAAAGATGATCTGACAATTATTTAGAAAGACCGATACATTCTTTTTTAACGTTAAACTGTACCAAAGAACAGTTTCAACATTGAAAATTTAGGTTCTTCTTCAGGGTAATTAGCAAAAGGGAAAAAGTTACCTGCATTGGTGTACTTTTTGAGGCCAAGCTAGTGAACCCAACAATATCACTAAAGAAAATCGTGACAGACTCGAAACTTTCTGCAGTAACTGAATGTCCTTGCTTCAGTTGCTCAGCTATCGATCTGCAAAGAAAACAATGCTTATAAACTATAGAAAGGCCAGTAGAAAGTTATCAAGTAGCTAACAAACTGTTCATCAAGAACATAGAATGCTTCAGTGCTTTTCACCTGATTCTCTACAGAGTATAAACATCGGATATGACTTAAGAACAATATATTAAGATGCAAAGTAACGTGACAGAAAGAATAGCGCGCTTCATTGCTCCTGTTCCTTCTTTTGCCCAATTAGCGGTGCTAAAAGTGTCAAATGCAGCTTTATTTAGCGACAGCAGGTACATGCCTTTTATAAGATCTATCAATATAACCTACACAAGTTCATATGTATACAATTATGGCTACAAGCCTGCCTTAAACTGAATCTGCGGCTAGATATGTATGGAAAATATGGAAACATTATTACTTACTTTGGTAACATTTTGTACAGTAATTCGTCTGTTTTTTGCTTTTCTGCAGCAAGCTGTTGCGTTCTTTCTTCAACCAGGTCTTCAAGATTATTTGCATATTTTTCAAGCATTCCAACCATGTTGTCAACTAGATTTCCTTGCCTGTAGCAAATAAAAAATTAAAAATGCTGCAAATTGATAAACGAGGAGAAAATGCGGAAAATCAATTTTAAAGTCAGATACAATCCTTAAGAGTATCCTTAAGTGTGGGCTTTTACTAGGGTAGCCCAAAGTCACTTGGTATTTAAGATCAACATCTGATTACAGTACTACAATTGGTTTCCTGTTAATGGGCTTTCAATGTTCATTGCTACCCCAAAATAATTCATAAGTACAGAACAAAGTCATCAAAAGCCCTGAATAATAAGGAGTAAAAAGAATAGTACCCGTCTCTTAAGATAAAGATGAACTTACAGGAGATCAACAACACAAAGACAGAGAATAAGTAAAAATTCGTGAGATAAAACAGATTTTTCAAAGCTATGTAGCCACTGCACCATAACAGAATCTTGGCAAAAATAAATAGGGATCAAAAAAAGAATGATGATTGTAGCATTGGAAATCCTGCATTAACTAGGTGATGCACTAAGCATTTTGAAGAAAAAATACCGAAGTAAATCCTATCTTGTGCACTATAGGTATGAAAATTTGCAATGGCAAATTTTTTAAAGAAATAATGTTATTGGTTTATAAAATCATCATGTTTTACAAACCAATAACAAACCATAAGCTTCTACTGAAGAAGATTCAACTTTGCCATAGTTACTATGACTAATTTAAAAAACAATTTTAAAATAAAGTAAAATGAGTTTCTGGGGATGTGTCTATTAGTAAATGTCAACAGGTCTTTGCGATGTGTGAAAATAGCTATCATCATGTAAAAAATTAAACCATGCTTGAGTAGGATACAAATTTTAGGTAGAGGGATCTTGTGAACAACTGAGATGAGAAAAAGAAACAAAATGACATGATCTGTTTTTACAGTACAAGGAACAGCCCTGATTTTAAGAAGTGATTAAGAAAAATAGACTCACTTTCCGCCATGAATTTGCCTTATCTTTCCTTTTACAGCCTCAAAAGTCGGTCGTTGTAGCGGACTTTCATCCCAACATGTCTGCATCAACTTGATGTACCTCACGTCACAGTCGTTATTTGGTATTCGCGGCCGTATGGGCGTTTCCTTTGATTCGCTGACTAACTGAACGATATCTGTTAAAAAGGCATTAAAGTTAATCAAAATATAAAAATTTTAGCCTATTTGATCTGTATGTCTCGATTAAGCTACCCTGCAAACGCCATTGAAGTTTTGAATAATAAAAGATTTGAAAATACAAGCTATTAAGTAAAACTCTTATGACAAAGTTTTTTAAAAAACAATTAACGTTAATCACCGAAAATCATGGGAATCTCTGACTTAAAGTGAAATTTAATTCTAAGACAGCTGACATTTTTAATTCTCCCGTTAAGCTATCTAGAAAGCAACGGCTCTGTACTTTACCAGCAGAGCACAGATATGGAAGCAATCTTGGAGTCATAACATCATAGAAAAACAATACTTATAAAACAGAAAAATACCTAATATAAAAAAATTTTATAAAAAAAAGGGGGACTCCGTGTCTTCAGTAAAGGATAAGAAAGTTCATCGTGCAATGTTTCGAACAGCTAGAGATTATCACATACAGAGAAGCAAATCAATTTATTTAATAAAGTCTTAGTCAGCATACAGCCCAACAGTCACGATCTTTATTGCAACTAATCTCCAATGAATCTTTATGAAGAAGTCAGACAGGCAAACCAATTTAAAAAACTGGCCTCTCCATTTGAAATAATAACAAATAGATCCCTGACGTTGAGAAATCAAGGCCAATTGGTTCTTGGCAACTACTGACTTACCTTTAGGGTCCATCTGCAATTCCGCGTACGGATCTTCACGTGTCATAATTTCGGACAGAATTATACCATAACTGTAGACATCACCCGGTTTGGTTTTGCGCTCCGACCGGGCTAGCAGCTCCGGTGCTACCCAAAGAAGTTCTGAAAAGGAGAATCAAATTCACTTTTGTAGTGAATTTAATATCACAATAATAGAAAGACGAAAGCACTGGAAACTTGGAAAGGGAACAGGGTTTAGATATTTCAAATCTGAGCCACGATAAGACATCTTGAATTGCTATTATAGCTCTGTTACATTAATACAATAAATACTGATTATAAAAGGCAACATTTGATGATCCATTATAAAATATAATTTGAATTCAATTTCTCCAAAGCTTTCAAAGAGGAGGACAGGGGGGGGGGGGATGGGTGAATGCGCTATCAAAATAAATCAGAACGATGTTAGGTAGTCTAGGAAGCTTTGAGGCAATAGTCGATTTGAGATTTCGAGACATACTTCTATATTGCTGGTACTCCGAATTGTCTTCTTTAGCATTAGCTTTGAATTTATCGAGGCCGTAGTCAGTAATTTTGCAAACCCATCGGTTGTCGATGACACAGTTGTTAGACGTTAAGCGGCCATGCGCGCCAATCGGACTTCGGTGCAACTCCAACATACCCTGAAGAAGAAAAAGAAGACGTGAATACAATGAAATGATCATTAACAGACAAGTATCTCTCAAAAATCAGACATCTCTAAACAATGGACACCCCAAACAATTTAAAGACACCTTCCAATAACAGACATCTCCCAATAGCGGAAATCTCCAAATAGCGGACACCTCTCAAAAACGGACACCTCTCAAGAACGGACACCTCCCAAGAATGGACACCTCCCAAGAACGGACATCTCTCAAGAACGGACACCTCTTAAAAACGGACACCTCCTAAGAACGGACATCTCTCAAAACGGGATACCCACAAACAATGGACAAAAATTGGTCCCCAAATTTCTTTCCAAAGGGCCAAAACGAATCTCCCTTTAAAAGAAACCTCCATTATAATGACAACCTCTGTAACAATCAGTAATGCAAATCTCGCTGTTGTTTGCAGATGAAGGTTTCGGAAATAGAAAAAAAAGCAACTTTCCAGCATCTCTCAATGACGTAAAAATGAGTTAAATTGAGTTTAACTCACCGCAGCAATATCAGCAGCTAAAGAAAGCTTAAACATCATATCCAGTTTGATGTCATCGTTTTGAAGGATATCCTGAAATCATAGATTAAAAATGGAATTTCGACAAGAAGAAATTAGTAACATGGAAACAACGAAACAAAGCCTTGTCAGACTTCTCAACAAAAATTAGACAATTTTTTGCACTATGTGATATTAATTGCCCAAGGACGATATTCTAAGGATCAAATAAAGTTACTTCGTCGGAATAACAAATAAACGTTATAGGAATTAAAACCAAAAAAGACCATTTTAAACTGCACACTCAATTACTCGTTATGCTAGTCATTATCTAGAGTACCATGCTGAGAATATAGTTGGAACAGTGTTAAGGCTCATCGTTGTAGCTTTATCTCATGCCAGCAAGCAAGCAAGCCATTTAAACGACCAGTAAGCAAATTTAGATTTGATTAATCTGATTTCGGGTTAGGTCACAGAATAAAATCACTTCGCTTCATTCATGTCTTTTCTGCATGCGGATTTGCTTACGTCAAATGATGTACTTTATGACTGATTGTAATCAGAGAGCCAATAGCCTTTATGAATAATTAATACAAACAACATAGTCTGCTATCTAATGATTTAATCGTGGAAGGAAGAATTCAAGAATTGACTTTTCTGTTGCATATTAAAACGCATTCATTGACATATGAAAATCAAATACTATCTAACTTACAGTAGGTAATAAACCCCCTGTTATTATTAATTACAAAAAACGTTAAATTTTTACTAGATTATGCTGGCGGGAAAGAAAATATCTCGATCTTCAATCCCTTCGGGTAGGAAAGAAGAAACTTTGTGGTTCATCAGGCGAAATTGTTTCAAGAGGTTTCAAGACACGTTCACACGCGAATAGAATAAAATGGGTCTTTACCTGTAGACTGCTTTTTTGGCAATACTGCGTCAAAATACAAATATTTGGATACTGTACACAAACACCAACAATCGGATTGATATTTACACTTCTCAGGTCTCTCACCTAAGAATAAATATAGATACAAAATAGATAAGAGGGAATTGGTTCGGAATAACAAAATGATGTTAAATTCTACTTTGAAACCTCCTCAGGTACATAGCACAGAAAGGGGTTAGGCGGTTGCAGATTTTTAAAAAACAGGGAACCAATTAAGCACATTGCTTTTTTACGCTCGATCTGAATCGGGATATTTTTCATGCCAACCTTTGGCTATTATCCTACGTTTGAACTTTTAGGGGTATCGGACGAACCGTGCTTTGTTATGTTATATTTCCTCATTTCTATGATATTTACTAAAAGTAGTGAACTGGGGATGCTATTCGAATTAAAAAGGTTTTGAGAGGGGCCAAAATGGTCTAAAATGCATAGCGGGCTTAACAATAGCGGATGGAATTACTCCAATTGAAGTTAATGACTATACGGACAGATCAAAAGGCAATTGCTTGAAATAGTCTTGAGTCGGTTGGGGGCGGGGTGTATTTCTTATACAGGATTTATATTAAAAAACAATGATTTTTCACTAGAAAGTCTTTATATAAAAAGATTCTGTTTCCAAAACCTCGAAGATGACAATCGCGTAAAAATAAATTCTGACTAACGAACGATTCAGGGTAGAATAGAAAAGCATAAAAGATTAAAACATACCATTTTGAACTCCAAAAGCATTTCTCTATTCCGGTGAACTGTGGTCTTGTTAAGTCTTTTTATAACTACTTGTTTTCCCTGGAAATAAAAGTAAACATAAGTTGCCCATAATCTGAAAAACTAACATTGAGGAAATTTTCGGACAGTATCCTACAATCACGTACACAAATATAAGAAGACAAAACAAGGTCCCAGAAAGCTTGCAGTCGCATGGTTGTTGACCATTGAAGGGACGAGGAGGAACATTGAAAAATATGAAATTCAGATAGCACACCCAGGTCATGGCTTGTTTTTATTGTTTTCTATGGGGTTTCGCAAGCTTTGGCTCTCGGGCCGAAGGAGGAACAAATTTTGTCAAAAATCAAACAATTCATCTATAAAAAAATACGAAAAGATTTTGAATCAGATTTTGAAAGGAGAAAACTTTCAAATACTATTTGGATACATATATAATGTCAGTGGATGGTCTGACTCAAATCTTCTTCAAGGCATCTAAAAAGGTCTGTGAAGGATTTTAAATGTGTAATTAAGGGGAAAAAATCCACATTATTAGGTAATTCTTGGGTAACTAAATTATCATCCTGAAGTGTAAGTGATTGAGAAGGAATAAGAAAATATCGAAACAAATGGCTGACCTGGTATCTTGCAACAAACTGACTCCTTTCGAGCATGCTCTCTGTCTCACTCGGAACAGAGTATGTTTCGTTAAACTGAAAGGGCAGAAAAAACACATTGAGACAAGAGACCGATCTATATCTCTAGTCAATCACACAAATAAATGATTAATTGATCCATTAGGTGAGTATAGAAAACGTAATGAAAATTTTTATCAGTCAATTGATCATAATTTTAAGTGATACGAAAGGTAGGGTAGCAGTGGGTTTGTGGGTTTATAAAAAAGATAATAAAAAGTTGAAATAATGTACTTGTGCAAAATAATCATAAAAAAATGAAAATCATAAATTGAAAATGAAAAAAATTAGGAAGGATATTTGCCCTTGTGAAAATAATAAGAGAATGCAATGTTACTTGCCGGCTTTGTTTCATCATTTGCATTCGAAAGCGATTTATTTGATTTGTCAGCGTGCTAGGGGACAGAAAGTACATAACCGAAAATGCAGGGGGCATTAAGAGAATAAATTAGTTGTTAATTTATGCGTAGTGATGACTATTTTAAAGAGTAGATTTTAGAGAGTGCAAACATTACTCAGACCTGCAGTTTATATCAAGGATAAAGGAATAAAAACTTTAGCGAAAGAGATCGAGGAAAGAAACAGGCAAGGGAAAAAATCAACAGGAATCAAGATATTTAAAAAGATTTCGAGGTTTCTTGGACATTTTTCTGTGATAACTGAAATGGCGAGTTCGCTTACTAAATGTCTGAAGTTTTGACATTATTTCATTACAATCAAAGGCCTGAAAAGTGACTACGAGGCTGTAAATTATGCAAATTTCATCACAATTAAAGACCTGAAAAGTGACTACGAGGCTGTAAATTATGCAATGCTTTTCCCAAAACGATTTTTAACTTAAGAATGTCGCCAATGACAAGTATGCCAAGATTGTGGTGGACTGCATACTTCAAAGGGGAAGCAATACCTTCCTGCACGCACTTTAGAGAGCGAAACTGAGAGTAACAACTTAGGACAGTATATAAGCCAAATAACATAAAATCATTTTTCATCTATTCTGCAGATTCAATAACTACATGAACACGAGTCAACGTGACTAGTTCTCTGGATAAGGCACTTTTGTGTAAGAGCTACTTGCCCCGAAAATGCTTTAAATGGAAGGTCCCGAGCTAAATATTCCCTTATTGCCTCGGGTATGCTTCCAATCTGAGCAATAAACGTTTTATTCACCTTCAACACATTTTGACAAAACCCCGTAGGCTGGAAACGAATTTACTATTTGGAATATTGAAACGACAAACATTTTAACAGAAAAGACTGATAAGACTTAATGTAAATAAGGTAGAGACAAGTAGTCCACTTACTTTGGAAGCAAACATAGAACCAGATTTTGCATTGTACACAGAATGGTTAATTATTTCGTCATAATTCACAAAGAATCCGTCACACAGCAAATCTCTCTCAAACTTGCGTCTCCTACAAAATCGTGTGCATTAATCAAAATAAATAGTTGCAACGAAGCGTCATAGCTTGTATACAGGTTTAAAGAACGTTTCTAGAGTTTTCGTAAGAGCAGTGTCTCACAAAACGAGTCTATAGGTAGGGTCTGTTATACATCAACAGTGGGGGTCTCTTAAATTTTTGCCACGGTAGCAAGAAGTCTGAAATAGAGCAATTTTATAGGGCAAGAGTAAAGTCTTACTCACAAGTAACAGAAAAAACTTGCAGAAAGAGACTTACTTGTACCACATGTACAGCAAGAATGCACCAAGGATTAGAAGAACACCAACGAGGACACCAGCAAGGAGCAAGCTGTTATTCGATTCGGCTGAAGCAAAATAGAATAATACTTCATTATTATTCATGCTCAGGTATGTTATCATTTACAATATCCATAGAACTGTTATTGATGTTGTTCACAAATATGAATAATCAGGAACTGTTTCTAGATACCCTGTTTTATCATAATCATCATCATCAGCATCATAATCAACATGATTTCTGATGAATTCGATTAAATTATCATCAACCATGAGTTGAGACGATTTTTACTTAGAAAATGGTAAATTCGGGCGATTCTCCGTATATTACAGTTGACGAAGGTATGATTCAAATTGCTCAAATAATACTTATTCAATTACTATGATCAGCGATTAAAAACAGCGATTGAGTTAAAACAGTATAAATTATGTATCAAGAACTTGTGAATGAATAGCTTTTTGCCAAAATAGGCAACAGATCTGCTAAGCACCCTCTCTTTTCATATAAATTTTCATAACCGACTTTTTTCTGGAGTTGCCTCAATTATGTCAATTTTCGCTAATTATGTTAACAATTGTCACCTATCGCTACTAAAACAAAGATATAAAAAAGCCAACAACTCACTGAATCATTATAAAAACGCCATTACAAAAGAATCACTCACTTTGACACAATTTCCCATCAAAACCGCAAGGAGGCCGGTCTTTCGGCGGCTTCGTTACGCCACCAGGCCATTTGACATTCAAGGAAGTGTTAAGATTGGAATTTGGAGTGAATATATGAATATTCTCTCCTTTCCCTTCGACAAATTTCCGAAGCTGAAGGATCGGTATCCGATCTCCGTTCTGGTCAAGTCGAACGTTCCCCGAATAACCTAGAGACGAAGCCTTAGCAATCAATTTGAGCATTTCAAAGTTTTCTAAAATCCAAATGCAGAAAGTGTGCGATTTTGCTTGAAGCAAAAAAATATTTTGGAAATATTTACCGTAATGATCAATATAAGAGTATAAAAGTACATGTCATTCTGGTAAACGGGTTTCGTTCACCCAAGCTGAAAAACGATTGATTTTCTAAATTTTTCTAAGCAATAAAAACTCGAAAATAGAATTAAAGAGAGTAAGAGCATACCATTTTCAAAAGTACTTCCAAAGATATTGCTCATTAAATTAGTGGTGTTCGTTGGATCTTTGCCTTGAGATATCGTATTGTTATAAGCACGAGCGTACAAATAGATTGTATCATACAGATAGGCAGACGCCGGGTCAACCTAAGGATCAAATCGAAGAGCTTAAATAGTGACTTGAACGCTTTTGTGACAATGCTGCATTTAATAGCAGAAAGTTACATAATAAAATCGTTGTATTTTGAATCAGATCTTTATCACTTTTTCATAAACATTAAATCTTTATTCTTTTCAAAGACAATGAACAACAGATTTCCAAGCATAGATTGAGGTGTCCTTTATTCTGAAGTATTTGTTATTCCTAGTTGTCCGTTATACTGTTTTTTCCTATATTCTTTTTGTTTTCCTGAAATGTTTGTCACTTCGAGTTGTACGTTATTCTGTGGTGTCCATAATTCTAAGCTGTCCGTTTTCTTGAAATGTTTGTTATTCTCAGTTGTCCGCTATTCTGAGGTGTCCGTTATTCAAAGCTGTCCGTTATTCTGAGGTGTAAAGGCATAGGACCTGGGGCATACATAAAAATGCACATGACAACATACAAATCTACATAAGAAATACAAAGGGGCACAGATCTAACAGAAAAACCATATATTTACCTTTTCTGATTGCTTCATAGGACTGTTGAATGGAGGATCTGCCATTCGCCTTCTGACCTCTTCACTAAAATTTTTGTGCTTATTTTCCAAGTCCGGTTTTTCAGCACTGAGATCAAGAAACGAATCATATACCTCGGATATCGTATAGCGCCTGCCGTTGTCGTCTCTGAACCAACTTTCGTTCACCCATTTGTCTTCGACATCGAAATCCACGGTTATAAAGGCGAAACTACCGTTGAACATTCCCAACTGCCTTGCAGCAAGAATTAGTTTCCTTACTTTGCTGTAATATCCAAGAAACAGGAAAACTATGGAAAGACAGTATGCGTTGGTTTCTCAAATGTTTCACAATTGAATTGAATAACTTGATTTAACAACATTGCAACATTCTTTTGTGGTTATGCATTTATCAGGTTGAGCAAAGCGATAGATTTCGAAGGAAAAAACCTGACTATTCCAGCAGGCAACATTGAATTATTTACGCGTTTGAAACAGATTTTATGGAGATTCATATTCAAATTAAAATTGGAGATATTAAGCTTGAAATCTTTAAATGATCTGGCATAAAAATATTGTTTGGGTGAAACCTCCCAATCTTGGACATTCCACAATTTATGATATAATACCTCAAATTCTGACAAATATGTTCAAAAATTAAAATATATTGTAATTAATAATATAACGCTGAGCTACTGTTGACAAACCCGTTAATGCCTTCAAATGGACAGTAACTGTAAAATACGTTGAGTACTAAAATAAAAGATTTTATCAAAGCAAAGATTTAGCTGCAAGCCAGAATGTCGATCCTAAATGTTCTTACACAGAAACTCCGTCTGCACGAATACGTGGCTATTTTCTAACATTTTCATCTCCTGCTTCCAAGACAACGATAAATCTGTGACTGAAAACACGAACATTTGAAAACGCCTTCCGTGGAATCTGCTGAAAACACGATGATTGAAATAACATCGTTTCTGTATGAACAGAAAACATGTGATTCGTTTTCTTTGCGATAAAAATGCAACCTTTGGAAAAAGTGTCGATGTGGATGTAGAATAAAATAATGTAACATTGATATCATGTATTCACTCACTTCTACCGGTTTCAGCGGCCTTCTGCAAGATTCCTTTACGGTACTTTCTGTTTTCTACCTCTCGAGGGTCAGTATAATTATCGTCTCCATCAAGAAGTTGCGGATTATAGGTGACTTCATTGACATCCGTGATATCGTTGCTTAACGATTTCTGCTTTAGAAACGACTTCGAGATGGACAACCATGGCTCACTAATCTCTGTTATCAGCGTAAAAATCTCCCAATTGAATTTCTTCATCAACATTAAAGTATTGCTTATAAGAATCTTTTCGTCCGTGCGTGCATATGACAATGTCCGCGCGGTAGTGGGGTACTCTTTTTTGTTACTCAATTCTGTGGTTGAACAGCTATACGTTATCATGGGTACTTTATAAAAAGCCGCAATTAAACCGCTGGGGACGCAGCTCTTGCTACAATATGGTCCAATAATAACAGAAAAATTAGTTTTGATAAACTCTACAGTTCCGCCAGCAGCCATCACTTTATTACACCCGCAGTCTTTCCATTCAAAATTGATTTTATACCCTTTCAGGATGTTCGGGTCTGCATTAATCCGATCTATGGCAATGGGCGCTGCAGAGGCAAGTCTGTTTCCAACCGGCCATCCTGTCCATGGTACGAATAATCCTATCGTTATATTTTTTAAGGCGTTGCAGTTATTAGCAAATAAAGTAATTGCAAACAAGTAAACTAGGCAATGAATTATGAAGTCCACCAATCGCTTCTTCATGGTCAATGTGGGCCACAGAAAAACAATATTGCTTGCAATGGGAGACTAAACTATGGACAATACGCAAAAGCGGCCTAGCAGACGGCTTTCCAAACGACGCAGCAGATGGCTTTCCATCACAAGGCAGATTCTTTAGAGTGGATTGACTTGAATGTTGATTTGAACGGTTTAGCTATCTCAAAGTGTAAGGGAGCAGTATGCTGTTCTTGTAATCCTTGATCTCTCTTCAATATCTACAAAAAAATGAGATAAATGAGACACCATTTGGACCGGTTCAAATTACACTAGGGACCATTAAAGGATTAGAAATAACTTAAATATTACATTTCTATATATTAGATACCAATTTAGTTTAAGTAATGATTTCTTTAATATATACAGAAGTCGAAAGCTCATGGACAAAGACATCGAGGCAGGAGATTAAACTGTAGGTACCTTTGCATACGAAACAACAAATAAAACAGAAAGGGGAATACCATAAGATCGATTGATATGTTTAAATATCCTGAAATCCAATGATATGTAAGGCTGGCCTTATAGAAGGTGACCTGATTCTTTTACAACGCACAAAACTCAACCAGAAATCAGTTATTATTCGCTTGTAAATGATGGTTTGTCGTTTTGTAGTTCAGTGCCAACCAGTGGGACCATGGACCCAGGCACCAGCAACTTTTCTTGTTGCCTTTGTACCAAGAAACCATGATGTAATATGTTATGGGCCTATGGACTGTTAATATTCATGGAAGAGCCACCATTACAAAAAAGAGTACTTGGGTTTGGCGGACAAGAGTGATAGAAAATAAGACTATTGCTAAAGCCACAATTGAATAATGATTCGGAGCGAATGAAAAATTCGATGTGGATGCAGCTTTTTTAAGAGCCTTTAACTTATAATCCTGTCCCGGAATTTTCACCTGAAAATGATACCCTGTTGGCAGATACATATCCAGATACTCCATAGGTATGAGCCTCTAGAACCATACTACAGCTTTTAATATCAAGAAGTATGACTTTGGAGGGGATTACTCAAGCAAAGCAGAGCAAAGTATTCAGTACATTGACGAGTGCAATAAATCGTTTCAAAATGCGAATGTAGAGAATTCCAGAAAATTGAGGTAGTCACAAACAAGATGAAAGCGATTAGGCCCTAATACTGCTTCATCTGCAGAAGGAGATCGTCGAGAATTGAGACTTAATCGTTGAAAACGGAGATCATTGAAAATGGCAGTCTGTTTAAAATAGAATCGGGTAGAGTCTCCCATACCATTTGTCCTAAAAAGGGATTCCATAAGCATATTTTCCCACAAATTCAGAAGAAGAAAAATGACAATGAATCTACTATCATACATCAAACAAGTCAAAAACAAAATAGCACTTGGCTTTCGTTTGCCCGTGCAAATACCTGTCAGCGATTTGTTTACCAGTATCGAAGAAAACAGAACTGTTCATTGGAAGGCTGACTGAAGAACAAACTGTAGCACTCAAACTTCGAATGGGCTTGTGTATTGACTTGCAAAATGTTCTCTTTAAGTTATATGATACAAAGTGATTGAACTCTCGGCGCAAGCAAAAAGGAAAGTTTTTGCCTTGGAGACGTGAGCAACGGTAATAAAACAATTAATCAATGAAATAATAATCACAGCAAGTTTTACTAACACTATTGAATATAAATTATTCATAAGAAAACAGGTTTCCCTGTCTTTTTCACATCATTTTACAGTTCATCTTCTTTCTTCTGCAAAAGTTTACGACCTCAATTAAATTTAGGGGCGCTTAATGAAAACAAAAGATATTCTCACATTAGCTTTGAGCAACAGTGAGAGCTGGTGAAGACTATTCTGATAGAAAGAAAATTCAAAACGAAAAACTTAATAAAGGATCTGCGCATGTTTGTTAAATTACGTATAATTCTGGACTAGCTGATACATATAAACCTGCCGAAGGCGAAGCCTCGCATCCGCACAGCAGAAAAATAAACGATATGAGCCATAGGAGGCTTAGTAGAGTCATTGTAGAATGTTTCGTCATCTTCGAAAATGTTAAGAGCATGCTTGACGACGTAGCTTGGGGGTTGGCGGAGGGGGGCGGGGCTTAGTAGTATCTACATCAAATACTATGATCCTCTTTTTAGTAGCCCTTACTCGGGTGGAGCCAGGAAAGTAGGGTTCTTGCAGTTATCGTTTTTGATTTACGTATATAAATACGTAAATCAAAAACGATAACTGCAAGAACCCTACTTTCCTGGCTCCACAAGACTCTTACGCCTGATGCCTTAAAAGAATATCAACCAGGCCTGACCAGAGATTATATAATGTATCATCGCAGTTTGTGAAGCTGTCTTCTGCATGAGAGGTAGAGGTATATATGATGCCGTATTAACCCCCGGGGGCTTACTTGATTTTTCCAGTCCTAAAAGGGGGACTTAAAAGAGAGAGGGGGGCTTAATAGAGAGAGGGGGCTCATTAAAGATTTGAAGCAGAAAAAGTTTTAAAATGTCTTTGGCCAATTTTTGTTATGAAAATGTCATACAAATGGCTCACTTTCACTAGAAATAAACCAAAGACTATAGCATACGGATTAGACACTGTATCCTACAGATGTCAAGAAGTATGGAATTCAATTCCCACAGAAATAACCTTACGCTCAAACATAAAAACCTTTAAAGCAAGTATCAAAACTATGTCTGCAATTTCTTGCTCATGCCGCATTTGTAAACCTTTTATAGGACAAGTAGGCTACATAAAATGACAGGGAACCTACTGTACATTGACGTATCTTATTAGTTATTCATCTATTTTTGTTGCGTTGTTAAATTCGGATATTTTTAATATATTTAGTTGGTTTTAATTAGCTCTAGTATAGCTTGTAGTGAAGAAAATTCAAAAGAAAGTGAAGGAAAAAAATGCGGGAGGGGGGCTTACTAGAAAGGGGGGCTTATTTAAAGTTTTTGCTTGATAAGGGGGGCTTAATAATATAAATTTTACGGTAATGCACAAGAAACCTAATTGATTTCATACATAGAGAGACAACCCAAGATCGACGATTCAGGGTATTAGACCTACTGATAATTTAAGAAATTGTCTGTTGGTATAGTTGGATTTGAATGTTTTGGGTTACAGAATATTGCACGACAATATCGCGCAATATTTGTATCCACAAAGCCATTAAACTCCAAATAGGCCGTGGAATACTATAACAGAATGTTTACTGTCAGTTATCTGTTAGGACCTATCTTTGTGAACGTTTTTTGATCCGCATCCTACAAAAATGATTTACAGTTATTCTCAAATAACACACACAAGAAATTGCGCCACCATAGCAACCAAAACAAGTCGCAATACTGTAAAAACGCTAGGGGTTCAAGTACATATTTTGAATAACTTCAGATCTACTGATGAGAAGGAACTTGAAAAAGGACATTTGCAAAAAGTTGCAAAAATAACTTCGGATCGAGAGAAGTGAAGAATTAGCTTACAAGAATGAAGAAAAAGGTTCCGCGAACCTGACGAGGAGGTAGTTGATACAGTTGACTTACAAAGTTAAGGGAAAACGACGATTCAACTTCACTGAAACGCCAAGGTAGGGTTACTATAAACACACCACGAAACTTCGAGAAAAGCAGAATGGATGACACCTTTCTACAAGTAGATTTCGCCCATAACAGTGGCTAAACATGCGATTGCAGAGGATAGAAGAAAAAAAAAATATTTTATCTTTGTTAGATGCAAAACACATATGATTAAAACCGTGCTTTGTAAAGATCGCGGCCAGCCAATAAATTGAAAACCATGGACGAATCTGACCAAGATTACGCGAAGAAGGTTTAATCTCTGAAGAAATAATCACAGGGCCAAACACACAACCACAATTAAAGAATCAATGGTAAGTACAAAGGTGCAATCCTAAAGAAAAACAACTGTATACGCCACATTATGGCGGCAACATTTCATGTTACTTGCCAAAATACACTTTCTCAAAAGATCCCAGTTGTACAAGATAAAACAGGGTTTTGGATTATCTATTATAGAATAGGTTTGTCAACATATTTTCACTCCGTTAAAGACAGTGTGGTATCTAATAAATCAAAAAGTCATACGGCATGACGAAACCCTTTGAATTCGGAAAGCAGGGAAATCGAATTACTTGAAAAACGAATGAAATAACATTCAGAAATTTTTTGGTACTTCTACAACAAAGATCGCTCGAAAATATTTCAAGCGTCATGTATGCCAAGAGGCACATAGAGTCATTATTTAAACATAATAATAAGAAAATTATAATTTCTGAGCCACAATTATAAAAAAAGCAATTTGAGCCCTCACCCCCTCCCTCCAAAAAAACCGAATACACACGAAGTTAACTAATAGATGCTGAGTGAGAGCTCCTTGGGAATGACCCTTTAGGAACCAGCACCTCGTTTTGAAAGGCAAAACCTAGGACCTACTAATCCATTTAGGGCTCTGCTTTCATCGCTGTTATAAATGTTTCTTAAAATGCTTTAGTATCGAAATTAGTAAGGAATAGAAGAAAAATAATTTATAAGCCTTTTAACGATAAATTTTTAAGTTGGAAAACCCATTTTTTTTATTTATTATCAACATCCATTGAGAGTCTGGATTTCTGAAAAATGACATATTTGAGACAAAAGGTTTTACAGGTGTTAAAAATTGTAGTACAGCTGGACCCAAACCAGACTGACGATGATAATGGTATCAAATTCAATCTAATTAAATATTCCAGTAAATAGTTCATTTAAATAGATAACTTCCCAGTTAAAAGCTTTCATTGGCTTACCAAAATCAAATCTTGTTGAAAATAAGAAAAATTTAAAGAGTATAAACATTAACATTGTAAAATTGTGAAAAATTTCTTCCAAAAGAAATACTTAGGACAGTTGAGTTAGATTAAATTCAGGTTTTGAATAGATTTAACGAAAAGAAGCCAATTAACCCTCGAAAGTCGATTTTTTCGCAGTTCTACAAAGTTATATTCGCTTGTTGACTCAAGGTTTCGTTGATCGAAAAATGTCATAGGCAAAGTTTGCTCCTTGAAAGACTGTGTATAACAAAGTGATAGAATTTGTCTCAGCCAGGTAACTAAAGAATGTTTAAAGGCATGTTACCATTTGCCGCTATCTATCAAAGAAACCAAAATGAATTTCCCTAATGGAAAACTCACAGTAGCATGAAATGGAATGGGGAAATTGCATAGCTAAAATTTTGTGGTCTGAAGAAAGCGACGCGTATCTAGAATGTAAAAACATTTCGAGAGGCCAACACAAAAGATATCGCAATGCCTTTCTTTCGCTGCAATAATTAATAGTTAAGAATTCTTACCTTATATTTCGAGGTTAAATAGCACGATTTAACTTTCCCAAGAACTCTCCTGTCAACACAAGGTATCTTGACATGCGATCTTGAGACTGGTCGTAAAAGTAAATAAACTTCGAGATGGTTATTTCATATGCGAATAAATCAAACACCATTTGAAAGCTGTGACCAGAAAAGTGATTCAGCCCGATATCTCAATCAGCGAATTAACGACCAGATACAGCAACAACGTGCAATTAGTTTCCATCGAAAACAACGTGTCTCGACCAAGCGAAGGACAGCCAGCAACTTGCTGCTCTTAAACAAACATTTCACAGATTTAACCGACAATTCGTCAAACACGGTTCTCATGGCAGCTAAATACTATTTACCATTCTTCATACACTCTTCTGACACGTGAGCAACTACAATAATCACGTGGTGCTCCTTCATAACCACATCAGCAAGACGATATTTGTCCGCAGTAAACACTAACAACTTTGTAACTTGCCTTTGTTACGTTTTTTTTAAATTATTTCTTCAGTCCACAAAACGAATTAGAGTCATAAAGAAATTAACTGAGAGCTTTATTAAGACACTGTTAGAATCCTCGTTCAAAAATTTAGTGGCCTTAAATAAAAACAAAATAACAGCATGGAGATACAGTAAAGGTTTAATCAGACAAATTTATTAACTACACATAATCCTTAACAAAACGAAACTATTGATCCTGGGTCCAAAATCAAAGATGAGCAAGCTTGTATGTATAAACAGAATGACGTCATACATGCGAACCGAAACATCATCAGGCAAACGATATTTGAGAGCTTCAAGCACACCACCGCTTCAATTCTGCCAAAAACTCAAAAGAAGGGAACATGGCGATAGGAAACAGCATGCCATTGTTGACAGTATTTTTTACTTATTTCAGATTTAGCAATCAATAGAAACACGTGGCTAACAAACTTTTCTACCCCAAGTGTTTGCATGTTTACAACAATAAGTAGGATTGTTGTGTTCCTCCTTTCCTGGCCGCGAGTCATAGACACGGTTTTTGCAATGACTCGTTTCTGATCCTTGAAGAGTTTAACTACCAAAGTTAACTATTTTATGAGCTCCTTCTCACAGCAATACCGTTACCACGTAATGACGACATGAAAATACATCTTTAGCATTTTTGAATCGTACTAGTCCATACTGTGAAAAAGCAGTTCAATCTAACCGAAATAGACAAAGATATAAGCAAATGAGCACTGGCTCTCTCCCTGTCAAATCCCTGTCATTTGGTCTTGGTTTTTAAATCCACGAACCAGGCCAAAATAACCGCAATCGATTAGTACAACTCAGGCCTTCAACTGATCATATCTCAGTCAATTAGCAACATATTTAAATTATTTTGCGAATTCGGATGTATTCTATTGAATTGAAAATTCTGAAACAGATTTTGATGACGTCAAAACTCAGCCAATTATTTTGTACCACTGCCTGTAACCTGCAGCTACTTCATGTAACCAGATACATTATCCTCTCCTTTCGAGTCAAAGTCAGATTAACTTAATAGGCACAAAATTCAGTTGTAATACGTGGCTTATCCAGTTTCATTAACTGAACATTTTTTCAAAAGAAAAAGGATTTATACATATTTCTTTATCTCTTGAACAATTTTCCTTGCGGGTCTGTTCTAAAGACGCATCGGCAATATTTAAGGACTGTTCCGTCCAACATCGTAAAGCTGTGTTGAAAAACCTTAAGGTATTAATTATACTAAGGCTCCCTAAATAGTATGAGCCTTGTGAGCTGAGTTAAAGATTGCAGTTGTTTTGTTTTTATGTCTATGAACCTGATAATATAATCAATTGTTATGATTTTTTGCAGAAGTCGTGGGTAGTTCTACCTCCTTCGTTGATTGCTAACGTTTCAAACCGTGTGGGCAAGGTGATAAAAAATTTAAACGAAGGAAATGATAAATTTAGGAAATGAAAGAAAAGAAAAAGTTGTTGCCTTCAAAGTGAGAACAGATGAAAGCTGCAAAATTCGGCTATATACAAGCATCGAAGGACTCAGCATGAGAAGTTTTCGATTTGGATACTTTTCGATTTGAATCCTACCTAAATTTGTGAAATTATCTCTTTTCACATCAAAACAGCAAAATATTAGTAGATTGGGAGTAGTATGCAAATATTCTTCAAAATATCGAATAGCTGTCCAAATTTTCGCTTTAACATTTAACCAAAAAAATGTGGGGGAAAATGCAAATAGAAATTTTTTGCTGGAATTTTTACACATGAACTCGGTACACGACGTTTTATCTATATTCTGGCTAGATCCTCAATTGTTGGATAGAATTAGAAATCATATTCAAAAGTTACAATTTCTAAGCAAAATAACAGACTTTACGTGTCGCTTTAAATGTACTGTTTTTATTAAAGCAACCATAAAGGTATTTAGCATTGGCTACGGTTTATAATATAAAAGCTAATCGGCCTAGGCCATGATGATAGATCATTCTAAGATCACCTTTGTTCATGAAAATTTATTCGGCGATCAATCCCGCAATAATGGGATAAGAACATTAATGACAAGCCTCTTCGACAGCAGAGGAAATGGAAAATACACGAGATCATTCCTGCTTACTTAAAGTTAAAAAAAGCCAAGGTGTCGAAAACAGCAACAGCCTCATTCTGACTTTAGGATTGACTTCAAAGAGAGAATGAATTTTTTGAGAAGAATGAAATGTCGAATAAGGACAGAAAAATGATGGGAAATTCATGTTGAAGTGCGATAGAAAAATAAATTGAAAAATAATATTGGAACTTACAACTAACTTGTCGAAGATACCAGATATTTGTTATGTTTTACAAATATGAACATTATCATAATTGTACTTTTTTACGTCTAGTTAGATTCCGAAGATGTATTACTGCAATCACAGCAGGTCCATTTAGAAAAGGTTTGTTCCGGACTTGATCAGTTCAAACCAGTCAACAAATCAATGTTGGCTCAGAATTTAATGCTGCAAAATGGACCACTTTCAGCTTCTTAATAGAAATAGTACCGAAATATATTTTGTTTGTATTGTAGAAAAAAAATCAACAGAGAGATTGACCATAATTATTATGTGGAGAACCTTATCATATTTGTGTTTTTTCGCAATTAATATTTCGAAATAATGGAATGTAATTCATAGGAGCAAACTGACAAGCATGGAAAATCTTTTAAAAGGATAGAGATGAGGGAAGCCAAAGTACAAAGAAGGACAAAATAAAAAAACAGCAAACAAGGAAACCAATTGGTTTAGAAAACCACAAATTTGTTGGTTGTTATCAACAAAAAGTTCTCAAATCGATGATATTTAATAAATATATATTTATAAAGTTCATACGTATTCTAAAGCTTGAGAGCTTTGTGGTATGACCGACAATATTCTATAGAGTTCTCACTTACCGATAATTATGCCTCCAGTTTAAGACATGCTCCCGGCCTTAAGGTAACGCTGAAGCTGAACTACTTTCAAAACCTGATACTGAATAGCCAAAATAAAGGATACTGGCTTTCAAGAGAAAATTTATTTGGGTGATCCAAACAACACGATTTCCAGCTTACAGTCTTCTGACCTGAAATATTTACTCGATTCAACAGATATGAAACTCATAAGTCCGAGCTTTAATCTCATCCCACTCACTGCTCTTAGTGGTTTTCTGCTGTTGATGGACAGATCCGGACAAACTACATATGCCAGATATTCAGGTTCAGTAGGGAAACAAGCGAACAAAATTATTCATCCGCACCAGTTCTTCCCAATTATTCATCCCATCGGCTATGTTTAGAAAAACATAAAATATGGTTTTGGAACGTTTTTGTTATTGCAAGAAAAAAAGCTGGTGCCCCATATTTACTTAATCATTAAATAAAGCTCGATGAAGACTTTATTATTGACTGGGCATTCATAATCATTTGGAACTTGGACCGTTGTAGACTTGTAAAGGCAGCCCTCTTGACTCTCTTGGTCATGATGTAACGATGCATGTAGAAGGATTTCAAGTACATTGGAGGCTGACCACCAACAAAGGTGAGATTTGAGCATAACTTTGAAGGATGATGGTGTGACCATATAAGTGTGAAGGCCTTTCAACATATTCATGGCGGAGAATCATAATGAACATGGTAGTGGATCGCAATACCAAGCTATTGTATATGCAGAGGAAGGACAACATTATAAATCTGGGATGACACCTTGAATTATTTGGGAAGGAACGAGATATAGGGCAGGCAGGGACGGATTTACCGGGAGGTGTAGGGGGTGCGACATCCCCAAATAATTTTGTGTCCTTCGGTAAATTTTGCTTCGATTCAGTAAAAAGCAATAAATTTTTGGTAGTCACAAAATGTTGCAGAAAAGCTGTTTTATTTATCTTCTTATCCTCTTTATTTTAAAGTCAAAACTGAATTTTGAAAATGGGTGTTTCCATCAGTTTCCAGTCATCTGAAGTGCATGGCACAATAACCAAGCATTATCTAACACACCCCTCTCCAATTTCTAAATCCGTTCCTGGGGCAGGGTTATCGTCAGGAACAGGGAAGAATAGTTACGCGACGAAGTGCGTTCTAAAAAAACCGGCAGAACCTGTCACTGTCATTATGTAAAAGGAAATGTCACTGGCATTATGGTTCTGTGTGCCAGGAGGAGTACCAGCAGTGCTTTTCAAGATATTTTTTATGTGAATACTGTGAATGGGCAAAATGAAAACTGATCATGATCAAGAAACCGAAGCTGCCTATAATGACGAAACGGACACAAAGCCTTAATGGAGATTATAGAAATCCGTGTTAATAATAGACTTGTTTACTCAATAACCAGCGCTGAAAATGAATTATTTACCGAAAGAAGAGAAATTCGCAGCAAGACATCTGTATTATACATACGAAACAAATGCTGTAAGGACAAGCGTAAATATTTTCATATGTGCATGTTTGTGTACGTCTTTTGTAGGATTAGCCTGGAGAAAGCTTTTACATATTAAATGATAATCAGCTGACGATGTCTTTTAAAAGGCCATTGTTTTGCGCCTTAGAAAGTTTAGAAGAACTCGCACTTGTATTCAAACTCTAGTCGGAGAAGCGACCGCTGATGACAAAGTAATAAAAACTGTTTTCAATTTATTGGCCTAAAAGCAAACAATATACATCAATCAGTCGTAAAAGCAAATGCAGTTGTGTTGCTTTCACCAGTTGCTGCCTCGGATGCACGACACCAGCCGCGTTTGGAATCACAGCATAAACAGGAGTGAAATCAGCCCATTTATTTTGAGAAGTTTGTCAGTTACACTAGAACATGACAGAAAGACGGAATAATCATTTTCTATAATTCGTAAAGCCTTCGAGTTCAAGACTGGCGAGATATATACAAGCAAGTAGGTTATATAGCAGCCAAGTTCCGTTAGGAAGAATGAAAAAGCAAAAGCTAGGTTATAAAGCACGTAACACAACACAATAATAAGATTGAACGTCCATAATAAACATCAATAAATCAATGTTTTCTCGTCATAGATTTATGATGACAAAGTATGCTAATTATTAAAGTGTAGAAGCTTGAAATATGACGCTGCATACAAAGTAAAAGAAGTAAAGGAAAAAATGAATTCAAAATAGGATTTCCCATTATAATTATACCCGAATAAAACTTTATTACCAGAATGCAACATATAATCACCAAGGCAACTATAACTACCATCATCAAGCACAAAAAACATGACCGTCACAGCAATCTACAGCAGTCATCATGGTCCACATACCTAACAACACATGATATCGAAATCGTTTTCAGATATCGTTTCGTAATCACATATCATAATTTGACAAAACATCTATAACTAAGACGTACGTAGGAGAAAAATATTTTACCAGTTCCTGTCAAGCTAAGGGCAGCTATAAGGTAAGAAGGGGCTCAGAAAACTGGAAGAAATACAGAAGGAAGGAAAAGGTTCACTTTTATGTATTTTGATCAAAATCGCACACGAAAGAAATCATTTTGATAAACAATTAGTAGCTGTCGCTAGCAACAAAGTGTAAAATGTTAGTAAAATTAAAAAGGTCAATCTGAAACAAAGACCAAAACTGTCTGGTATTTTGGAATTAGCTTTCTGGTTATTAGATTGCGCGAAGATTTTACGTAAATCAAACATAGGAAGGTTATCAGTGCAAAGGTAAAACAATTGAAAAGATTCAATTTACAAAGTCAATTAATTACACTGACCTTTGGCTAAGCAATTTTGCAAGCACGACACTAACGGTAATGTTGATCCAATGTTCACATATATTACAATATGTCCAGGGCAAAGAGAAATTAATGACTTCCTAACCTGCTGTAACATGCAAGGAAATATTGGCAGATAGCAACTCACAAGCGACAAGCAGCGCGTTACTTGATGAAAAGTGTTGAAAATACCAAGATGATGAAGAATGTCAAACAAAATAGAATGACAGTGAAATAAAGAGCAACATTCGAACAAAATAGAGCGATAGTGAAATAAAGAGAGTGTCAACAAAAAACACAAAATCTTCTAAAGTTTGATGCATTGAAGGCACCTTTGTTCTGGACGACGATGAAATTTGCACGACGACAATCGAAGAGCGGTAAAATATGTCAGATCTTCAATGCTTTTTGCTAGGAAGAGGAATAAATTCCTGCTTACCTTGGCGTTTAAAAAGAAGACAACTTTGAGATAACCATAGGATAAACTGTGGTCATATTCATTTCGACTTCTTAACAGCTTATTTTGCATTCATATAGCTTTTGATGAACAGATACCTTGGTATTAAGCATGCCTATAACGAGCCGGAACATTTGCTACAAATACAAGATTTTGTCTTCGGATTAAAATCTTTATGTTATCATTGCGCAAATTGATATGGTCAAAGATAGCAAAAATAATAGATGCCACAGAAAACCACTGTTTAAAAATGCATTACGGCTTACCATCATATGAACTGAGCAACACCGCGCGAACATAAACAGTCTTTTTAGTTTGTGAAGAACAAGCAATGGATTGCGGTCATCGACTGAGACAACAGGTTTGGCGACTGTTATTTAATGGTAACAATAAACAGCGTTGAGAAATGGTTCACCACACTTTGAATTGTCAGATAACAGCATAAAATTTTTCAAATTATCTGAACCTCTAAACCAGCTTCAATTTGCTTCCGAGCTTTGGTTGTCTGCCAGATCAAAGCGTATCTTTCGACTCAACCCTCACAACACAACACCACAAATCGAGCAAATTGACGATAGTAAAGCCGCCCATATCGCTACTCTTTAAGCGTGGAAGAAATTCAACCTGAAATTTATTGTATTATCCGCTAATCTTTGGGTTTATCTTTAATTTCATTCCAAAATACTGACCCCATCCGAAACTAATCCGGTATGGTGACTTGAATTCTCAGGCCCGTACTATGTTCTATCTTCAACCATGAGAGTAGCTTCTAAAGACTTTCCTTGTTTTTCAGGAAATTTTGCGAATTATGCCAAAGCTTTAAAATTAAGTTAAATGGAAGCTTTTAAGTGATCGGAGAACCAAGGACTCCACATTTAGTCGCTCGTATATTGCGATAAAAGAAAGAAATTTTAGCACGCTTTTGATACAAAATACAAGGCATATCTGGATGATCGAAAGAAAAGTTTGGCATTGCAGGTGATTGCTCAAGTAATGACTAAAATAAAGCTAAATGGATTACCATGTGGGCGCAATCTGGGTGCTCAACTGAGATTTGCTGGACAGGTTCTGACATAAAATTGAGCTTTTAGCCTCGTACGGTAGTATACAAATACATGTTTACCTGGAGTTCTTTTTAAAATCTAGTTTGCAGAGAGATGGTATATGAAAAACGATGGTATAAGATAAGAAAAATTCTTATCGAAGCCCCCACCAAAAGATCATCAACATAAACATAAATCCAATATGCACCTAAGACCTGTTCTCCTGGGTTTCGGTCATTTGTATAGCCAAACATAGATCGTAATAAGGCATACTAGCGCTGATGGAAATATGTCCACCTGCAATTATAGGTTGGCACTTTTAAGGATATAATCTGTTTTCAGAAGAACGAAGTTCAGCTGCTCCTGTTCGTGTCAGTAAGAGAAACGCTAGTGTCCAGAAAGCCAAAAATAGAAGAATTTCAAAGTGCCAAACAATTACCCAGCGGATCGACTCAGATCAGCAAAAGGTAAACAAGACGATTAAATGCAAAACTCAAAAGTATTCGATACGCTACGTAACTAACAGTATTCTACACGTGTAGAATGATTTCGCATGAGTCTCCACATAGATAGTTTCACAAAAGTTTGGAAAGCAATCGCTTGTGTAGAAGCATCGATCAAGTTTTAAATTTACTATGAACAGTGTTGTTTGTAACCT